CGATCCGTGGGAAGTCGTCTGCAGAAGGAAGAGACAGCCCGGGGCCACGGTCACTGGCGGGGACCTTCCCCCGAGGAGCTGTCACCCCGTCCCCCCTCGCGTGGCTCTCGAGGTCGGGGCAGGAGGAGAGGAGGAAGCTGGCTGAGCGGTGGAAGGACAACGTCCTCGTGCGGGACACAGCAGGAGTCACTACCCGGCTCTTCCAAGGCGACCGGCTCGGTGCCTTCGCCCGCTATTTCCTCACGCTAGCTTGGAGAGAAGCGCCAGGAGGCAGAAACTGGGAAGAAGGAGCAGACGTCCTGAAAAAGGGGCAGTTAAAGCCCCCTGGGTGCTGAAAAAAAGCGCGAGCAAGAGGGTAAATGCACGGGAACGTCCTCGCGTGCGGTGCAGTTGGCCTGCACCCCCGGCCTGGCTCCCTCAGGGCTTTTCCAACATTCCCGACGCTCCTCAACACATTATCAGGGTGGGCTGCCTTTCTGCTGGACCCGAGAAAAACGGCAGCTGCTGAACTGCAGGTAAAGCACCCACGAGCTTCACCAAAACTACGGTGGGCAACAAGAGCCACAGCACATGGAAACCGGAGCCTGAGCAGCCTTCAAGTTTACTGAGAAAACCCCCCAAAAAGTCCAGATCCCTGACAGGAAAGCCAGAGCCTTGCTGCCAAAGCTAAGCTGACCTGGGGCATGGGGCGGAGGAGGCGGAGGCAGAGGGAAAGACTGCAAGGAAGAGCCCATTGGACCCACTAGCACAGACGTAGGCAGCGTCCCACTGATATCATCTAGGAGAGAACAGAGGCAAGAGAAGATTCAGAAAACAGGACAGCGAGCGAGCTCTGTGCCAGCGAGCACCTCACAAAGCCTGGCCCGAGCAAAGCAGTGAATGCAGAGCGTCCCACTGGCAGCTTCATCATCCTCCTCCTCCCGATTCCGAGCCCGGAGCCTCGCACGCACACGTACAAGCTCAGCCGCGCTCTCGGAGCGAAGGGATCCCTCTGCCAGCCCAGCCAGCTCCTCGCGGGCAGCCCGCGAAAAGCGCC